GACGCGTGCCTGTTTGTTGGTCAACAACAATCAAAGTGCATTTCGCATTGTTTGACGACGTAAAAGCAAAGGAAGGGGAAATCACGTTAAATGAAAAGAGGCGAAATGCACCGTCACGTTTTATGTGATTCAAAGTCATTTAAAATGTGGCTAGGGGTCGGTTTTACCCCCTATCTCATAATGTTTAAGCCCACAGCTATCTTTTATTTATATTTATAGCTACCGATATAGGAGAATGATTTTATTCAATAAGAAAGATAATTTTTGAATTAATATACATCAGAATTACATTAAAAGAAGGTTTGGAAATAAAATAAAAAAAAACCCTTTTAAGATCCAAAATTGGGAAATACATTTTTGTTATATATTTTCTCTTCACTTGTAACTTTTATTTACATTTACTCAAGGCATAAAGAAACTTGTTTTTTTATATAAGAGTGCAAATGCTATAAAATTTTATTTTAAACTGATAAAAAAAGACGTAGAAAGTACTTTTAAACGCTGGCTGAGCAATTGTTTCCGCGTTATTTTTCAAATTCAGTTTTCGAAATTGTCTTTAGTTTACATCGATCTAATACGCAATCTTTATTTATTTCCCACAGATTATGACGCCCGATGGATTTAGCCGAGGACTTAAGGCCCAAAAAATATTTTCCGTTTTTAGGAATGGAAGTGGTGATTTGTTATTCTACATCAAGTTCATGGGCCAACCAGAGTTGGAGCTAGTCCCAGCGTCGGTGGCAAGGAGTGAAATTCCGCACATGGTAATAGAGTTCTACCTGGAACGTCTATCCTATCCCCCGAAAAAGAAACACCGAAAGAGGCATGCGAGTTAGGAATGATTATTAATTAAATTCAATTATATACCACTCTAAACGATGTGTTGGGTCCTTTATCGGTCGGGCGGAGTTTTCTTTTCGCGCTCTGCCGCTCAAATCGATCATGAAAATTTACGAGACTGCCGGCCATAAAAGCCAAGCAGGGAAAACTAATTAGGCAGATATCAAATTCGGATTAATGGCTCTCAAAGTGCCATAAAATTCTGGGGTGCAACAATTAGGATAGGGAAGTTGATGTGGATCTCCGGATATGTGAGTGTTGCCAATTGCCTTGGAATGCTGGCAAATATGTTGTGTCAACCATAAAATCCAACTCGACTGCTTTCGTTACTTTGGCCATGAAAACCAATGCAAAGTCGTTAAAACCTACAAGAAGTTCTTCCCCCTCATGATGTCGATACCAAAAGAGATGATGGAAAAGTTTGAGAGGCTGCCAAGTTTGTTTTATGGCCCCGCTTTGGGAATTACTTTCCATTTAAAAAATTTTAATCTCGCGAAAAAATAAGTTGACGCTGCATTTCATTTGCCCTCATGTGGTGGCCCATCTAATGGACTTTATTCTACTTAGGCACAAAGTTTATAATTTAATGAATCATCGTAAAAATTGTAAACTTTTTTTACAACAACGTAGTGAGGAAGTTTAAATAGTTTGCTAGTCTAGCTTGTGTTTGACTTTGATTTTGGCGGACTGCCGAGCTGTCAGAACAACTTTACCTGATATGCAACTTGCGCGCAAAAGTTTTGTAGCCGCTATTTTTAACCCTGCTTTCTTCTTCATGGTCAACAAAAAAATTTAAGTTATTTTACAATAAATAAATTACAATTGGTATGATTGTGTTCCTTGTTTTAAGTTTTAAGTGATTTAATAACGCTTTACCAGAAAATAGTAACTAGAAAGTGTGTCAACCAAACAAATACATTTTTATAAAAATTAAATTGTTTAAAGGGAATTATAATATAAAGGTGGTCCTTTTAATGCGTATAAAAACTTTATATATTACATATTTTTTCATCATTAAAAATTATTTTTTTTTTGTGATCATCTCTGGAGAGTCTGGACTAGCAAATGGATTCGACAAGCTAATCCGTTTTGCGGGCCTTTTTCAATTAAAATAAATTAAATGCAAATGTCAAAACTGTTTTCGGGGAATCCCCCGCGCCTTTTCGCTCCCTCAATTAGACGCTCTGTCAAATTTCGCGCACGGCTTTGACAGGTTCGCGGGACAGATGATGAACTACAAATTGGACGGCGGTGGTTGGGTGGTTTGGTGGTGCGGTGGTGCGGCGATTCTGTGGGTGGGTTGCTTATGATGCCCCATTCATCGCTGCATGGGAAAGTTTTCCGTAATTCCGGGACCAAGTCTTGTTGGGCGCCTTAAGCAAGCTTAAAAGTTGCTGGCAACAAAGTTGAGGGCTGAGTTGGGCGGACAATAAGCAGTAAAACAACGGATTTGAAGGATTTTAAAACAATAATGCTAAGCGGCAAAAGTAAATAAAACGAAAGTGAAATAAAATATTCGTTGCCAAAAGTCCGTAAAACGGTTTTTGCTTACGTGCCTTAGTTGAATTTTATTTGAGAATTCTCAAAAGAGTTTTGTTTTTGTAAATCGAGAGCTTAAAAAGAACTCTTTCAAAAGATTCGGGGAGTATTCTTAGGCTTGTCAACAAGGTGGTTTATTTTTTATTTTTCAAGAAAGTTGTGTAAGTGGATTGAGAGAAAAGTTATTCATTGTTCATTCAGTTACTTGGCGAGGAGGCAGGAAACTGAATATATTTGATCCCTTTTAAACAATCAGTTTTGATAGTAAATTTAGCTGTTACATATTTTTTTACCAACTTTTTTCTTGATTAACTTAAAGGATTCTTTATCATCTAGGTAAATATTTGTTTATTTATTACATTTGCTTAAATGTTGTATCCCAATACCGTACAATTACATATCTACTTACAATAATTAATATCTACTTATATTAAAAATAGAAAAACTTACTATTGTAACAGCTCATTTGTTACTTTAAAACTACAACTTAGAGCCAGACACAATTCCTTGGATGTCAGAATATTAAATGTAATCCCTTTCTCCTCCATCACTGCAATAATTTGCAGCCGGAAAGCTGAAGTTAGCCCAAATCTCTCACTCGCTCTTGACTTGGCGTCATCTTAGTCATTAAAACAGGTTCAGACTAAGTAATTTGCCAGCCACTTCAGGCAAAAACAGAAAAGGAAGGGATTGGGGAGATACTTCCACGCTGCTGCCTTAGTTAGTTGCCCTCTAATAAACTGGCAGCGGAAATTTTTAACAAGTTGTTGCCAGTGCACAAAACTGGGCTGTAATTAACGCGGGACAGATGCCGCGAAAGGGGGGAAAGCGGGGAAAGGGGAGACAGGATGAGGGGCAGGAGTTGGTGGAGTTGCCTCGTCTGGGATAGACGAGATTTTGCATATCAGATTGCTGCCTCGGCTCCAGTTTGGCCCTGCCTTGTGATTTAATAACCAGCCCTGGCAGTCAAAACTATCCAACAACGGCAACGAAGGGCAAATGCTATCTATAGTAGTCGAATCATTAAATACACTAGCTCAATTGTAATACAATTAAACAATTAAATAAGTATAACTTTGTTCATTTAACCATATTAAGGGCAATTAACCGATATTTTTTGTGGCTTCACCTAAATTACATTATTAATCTAAAACCGTAAACAATTAATTAACAGATATTTTTGTAATAATTAAGTTTATGAACCCCAATAAAAAGTGAAGTAGAAAACTTAAATTATGGGCCTATATTTGGAGACTATATTTTAATAAATCTAGAACTATATTTTCTTGATAGTTTGTTAAAGCAAAGACCAATATAATATATTATATTGGTCTTTGGTTAAAGGGTATATGGATAGTCTTTAATATGGTAAAGAATAACTTACTCAGAGATAATATTAAATACAATTTATGAAAGAAGAATAACAATTTATAATGTTTTTTATTTTTTCTTGAATAAAACAAGATGTCAACTTTTAATCAAGAAAAGCAGAAAAGCAGAAAATTATGTACTTTCGGTAGGGTATGACAGCTGTGTGTGCTTTGCTTAAAAATAAAGCCCAGCCAACTCGGCTCTAGTTACCCTCCACTTTCCTTCCCTGATTTTCTCTCGCCCCCTGCAGTTTCCATTGGGGAGAGGGGCAGGGAATGTAAACTGCAATCGAAAGCGCGTGCAAAAATGAAATGTGCCAATGTGGCGGATGGGTGATGCGGACCCGGGGGAATTGGGAGACTGAGAATGGGAGTGCGGAGCTCAAGTCCTCGGCAATTTGCATAAATTTAGATCAGTGACACATGGCGTCCGCTAATGGAGGCAATGCGAGAATCGGAGATGGAAAACTGGAGAGACTGGGAGTGGACATATATCAGGGAACCCCACTCGACCCGTGACTCAAACAGTTTAGCAAACATTTCCAATTGGCGTTTAATTAGCGGCTAATCCGCTTGCCACTGCCTGCGAGTGGGCGTGGTCGTTGCGCCCACACCTTTCATTTCTCATCCGTTTTTCGGCTGATTTTCGCATCTCTGCATCTGCAGGTGGCGATGATGTCCCGGGCAGTCCAATTAAAATGTCGTGTATCTCTGCGGTGGCGCCACCACTGCCCACTGAAGGTCCATTGGATTCCACTTGGGTGGCAAGCGGATGTCCAACGGCCACTCCCACCCACTAACCATGGAATGACACTGGAATTGGAGACCGGCCTCGCCACCGCTGACTGCCCATTGAAGCGCAACTTTCAGTCGCAACGGAAAAGTTTGATGGGAACTAAGTTTTCCATCTATGGCCTCTCTTAATTGCAAGAAAATCTTACTTGACCTACTTTCTTGATCTGAATACAAAAGTCAATGTATAATAACATCGAAAGATATGTAATATAACAAAATAAAATAATACAAATTAATAAAAATAAGTATAGGCAGCTAATAGATTAAAACAAGTATTAAAATGAGGTTAGTTTTTTTTCTAAAATGTAGCTTAAGTAAACCTTTATTAATTAAGATTCGTAAAACTTTTCTAAGCCTGTAATAAATCAGAAAATAATACAATATAATTTCCAAATGTTAACGATAAAATGACATACTTCTAAACCTCATAGTTCGTTAGCATAGTAAATAGTTGTATTTGATGTAGTTTCCTTAGAGATTTTAGTTTTATTTCGCTTTCATAACTCACACATTTTTATAAACCAATTTTTCGAGAATACATCATGGCTTTAGAGGCTATTTGCGGTATGAATCGTATGCCTTTCATGCGGCGCTTTGACGATTTGCAATCCGAATGGCAACAGCAGCAACTTCGTGAGGCAACCAGTAACTTTGAGAATCCTTACGCCATTATGGCGCCGCCCTTTGAAAGAGTGAGTATAATCATCAGAATCATCAATATGGGTTGAAAAAACAATACATTTCCTTGCAGCCAGCGGAGAATCTGCCGAAAATCCTGGCCCATTGTGGAGTGCGGATGGAATTCGATCACGGCACCACAACTTTGGGCTTTAAATACCAGGGAGGAGTGATTCTGTGTGCCGATTCGAGAGCCACATCTGGCCAGTATATTGGCTCCCAGACGATGAAGAAAATAGTGGAGCTGAACGACTATATGCTGGGCACTTTGGCAGGTGGAGCTGCCGACTGTGTCTACTGGGATCGAGTTTTGGCCAAGGAGTGCAGACTGCACAAACTTCGCTATCGGAAACGCATGACTGTGGATACGGCTGCCCGGATTATTTGCAACATCTCCACGGAGTACAAGGGTATGGGTCTGGTGATGGGAATGATGTTGGCCGGGTTTGATGACGAGGGTCCCAAGCTAATCTACGTGGACTCGGAGGGCATGAGGTCACATGGTCAGGTCTTCTCCGTGGGCAGTGGTTCTCCATATGCTCTTGGGGTGCTGGACACTGGCTACCGTCATGATCTCAGCGATCAGGACGCCTATGATTTGGCCAGACGAGCGATTTATCATGCCACCAGTAAAGATGCATATTCGGGAGGCATTGTTCGTCTGTACCACATCAATTCCGAGGGCTGGCGAAACATCTCTAATACTGATTGTGCTGAACTCCATGATTCGTATTGTGGATGCCCTCTACAGAAAAATAAAGATAGCCAGGACAGGCCTGATAAAGAGATGCCCTGCTCCAGTGGATGGACGAAAAAAAAACTAACAGAAGATAATGTCCAGACCAAATTAGCAGCGGTGTAAATATTGCAAACATTCAAATATTAGTAATGTTGAGAAGAATTTAAGCTGAAATTGTAAAGTAGTAATAACCCTTTAGATTGTGAATGTACCAAATTTATACGTGAAATTGTATCACATAATTATTGCAATTTAACCTTGTTTATATAAATTAAATTTCTTACCTTTTGAAAATCATTCAAATGTTAAATCAAATTATTTATAGCATTGAACAAATTTTGACTAAGAGATCTACATGTCAGCTATCTGATATGAACCGAACCATATGGTCAACCATTTCCTTTAATCCATTCCACTCTTAAAAAGCTAGAAATCATTTTAAAAGTTTTCCCCCCTTAATAATAAAAACAACAGCGATGGAGCAGCCTTCCGCCCCATTTTTTCCCCATTCTCATCGCAGTGCCACTATCTGCTAATTTCTCCACTCCCCAAACTCCTCTTCCTTCCCTCACAGAGCTAAATATACGAGCAACTTTCGCTCGCCAAACGAACTTTTTCTATAAATCAAAATAATAACTTCTAAGCTCCGAATGACTTCCCCTGAATGGGCGTGCCGCACACAAAATACGAAATGTTCCATGAAATGTTGCATTCTGTGTCTTTGGGTTGTCATCAACAAATGTTGCAGATGCCGCTGCCTGGAGACTCTGTCCGGGGGCTCAGTTCCTTACCGTTCTATGCCATCCCATCCGGAAAAGCGCAACCGCAGACATTAGCAGGCGTAGGCCATCCACGCCCATTGCCCACCGCCCACCGCCCACTGGGTGGTGACCCCACTCCACGACTGTTAAGGCGCTCTGAGCATGCGATAAATTTAATAAATTACAAACCAAATCCGCAAATTTGTTGAATTCCAAAAATAAAAAGCGAGAAACACCAAATGACTACACCGAAGAAAATTTGAAATTTTTAATAGGAAATAAATCCTATAAGTTATTATCTTCTTTTCAATAATCAATTTTACGATTGGTTTTTCATACGAAGGACCGTTTGGTCGTCCTCATGATATGCTTACAGTTGGGTTTAATTTGAGAAAATATATGGTATTTGACTTAACACTTATTTTCAGCTTAGCATAATAACGCGAAAAAAGGCCAAGTACTTACCCCACAAACAATATACGAAATATAAATCTCTATATGAAGTTTCGGTCTTACAAATTTTGCTTAGATTATTAATTTAATCGTTTTTGAATTTTAAAGTGCTAAAAATGACTGCTAAGACTTCTATCTTTCTATCAAGAAATAAGTTTAAGTTGTAAAGATGTATACTTACATTTACTTACTCAACTTTTTATTAGCATTATTTATTTTAATTGTTATTTATATTTATGCTACTGATAGTTTATACAACAGAAACTAATGAATATTTTTAAGGTAAACTGTGATTAAATACTTAAATTTGTCTTATAGAACTTTAAGAAAAGTTTAAAACTAATCAATTATAAGTTTGATAATTTTTTTAAGTGTCTGACGAGTTGGTGGCAAAATTTGCACGGCGTTTTGGGGCACATGTGAGTTGCAGCACGTGTGTGAGGTGGCGGAGGCAGCAGCTCAGCAGGGAGTGGGGCGGAGGAACATCAGGGCAGAAGGCGTTTTGTGGCAAAAAGTTTTACTGTAAATTGCTTTTAATCTAATGAACGTCGCCAGCAGGAGCAGCCAGGAAAATGAGCGGCAGCAGGGAAATCGGAGGGGATGGAGGCAACTTGGGTAGCCAGAAGTCCCCGAGAGTCATTTTTCCTCTGTGGTGTCATTAGAAAATTACTTAAAGCCAAAGTCGTGTGGCCCAAGTTCGGAAAATCCTCATTGCTGGTAAGTGGAGGAAAAGTGGCGGAAAAAATGTTGCACTATGGGTTAATGGGTCAAAACTATTTTCTCGCAGTAAATGAGTGTAAATTAGATATTTGTGGTGGTTTAAATAGAGCAAGTCTTTCAGATTCCTATTTTTACTTTAAATTATAAATGCTTCCACACTTTTATAATAGTTATCTTTTATTCATACGTAAATATATTTGCAATAAAACTACTTTACAAACTTTTAATAAGAGTTATGTTCTATTCAAACGTAAAGTCATTTGAAGTAAAACGAGGACGGAAGCTAACTTCGGCAAGCCGAAGTTTTAATACCCTTGCAGACTTTGCCGAAGTTGCTAAAACTGAAAAAGTAGCGAAAGGAATAAGATATACATAAATAAACTAGATTTGCGTCGTTTGATGTCAATTGCTTTTATACTGCAAAAATGTCATATAAAAATGGAAAAAAAGGGATACTTTCGCAGCCTTTAACTATTTTTCCTACGGAAGCTATAAGAAATAGACGTCCGATCGGCAAGCGCTTTTACCCTAATCAAGATATGCGTAAATAAATAAGAATTGGAAAATTTTATGTTAGTAGCTTACACACTGCGCGAAAAATTCAGAAAACCAACAAATTTGGACCGATTTCACCCTGTTGTTCCTATGGGAGCTGTAGGATATAGACGTCCGATCGTCACGTGCTTTTACCCTAATCAAGGTATGCATAAAAAAATACGATTTGGAAAGATTCATGTCGATTGCTTATATACTGTGCGAAATATCCTAAAAATCATTAAATTTTAACCGATTTCACCGTATTGTTCCTATGGGAGCTATAGGATATAGACGTCCGATCGCCAAGCGCTTTTACCCTGATCAAGGTATGCATAAAAAAATAAGATTTGGAAAGATTTATGTTAATAGCTTTTACACTGCGCGAAATATCTTCCATTCTTGAAAGTTATATCCGATTGTTTCTATGGGAGCTATAGGATATAGACGTCCGATCGCCACGCGCTTTTACCCTGATCAAGGTATGCATAAAAAAATACGATTTGGAAAGATTCATGTCAATAGCTTTTACACTGCGCGAAATATCACCAATTCTTGAAAGATATATCCGATTGTTCCTATGGGAGCCATAGGATATAGACGTCCGATCGGGGCGATTTTCAAACTTGATCTGCGTACACATGTTTTAGGACGAGTGTGAAAGTTTCAGATCGCTAGCTTTTAAACTGAGCTCGCAAACGGTATTGAAACAGACGGACAGACGGACAGACGGACAGACGGACATGGCTATATCAACTCAGGAGGTGATCCTGATCAAGAATATATATACTTTATAGGGTCGGAAACGTCTCCTTCACTGCGTTACAAACTTCTGACCAAAATTATAATACCCTCTGCAAGGGTATAAAAACTAATAGGGCTATGACATTACATTGCCGATTTCCTTCATTGACGGTTTTATTGGAAATTATTTAACTTTCCTATTAGGAACAGGTCAACTATATTTTAAGAGGGCTTGAGATTCTGTTGGTAAAAATTTAAATATTATTGTGATACCCCGAATTTTTATACCCTTGCAGAGGGTATTATAATTTTGGTCAAAAGTGTGCAACGCAGTGAAGGAGACATCTCCGACCCTATAAAGTATATATATTCTTGATCAGGATCACCTCCTGAGTTGATATAGCCATGTCCGTCTGTCCGTCTGTCCGTCTGTCCGTCTGTCTGTCCGTCTGTCTGTTTCTACGCGAACTAGTCTCTCAGTTTTAAAGATATCGAACTGAAACTTTGCACACACCCTTCTTTCCTTTGCACGCAGTATATAAGTCGGAACGGCCGTGATCGGCCGACTATATCCTATAGCTGTCATATAACTGAACGATCGGAAATGCCATAACTTTGGTGTTTGTAAAGTTAGGAAGTTGAGATTTTCTATAGGTTTTATTTTTGGCCAATCAATCTGACCTACCGAATTTCATGAGAATCGGCCGACTATATCTTATAGCTGCCATATAACTGAACGATCGGAAATGCCATAACTTTGGTGTTTGTTAAGTTAGGAAGTTGGGATTTTCTATGGGTTTTATTTAGCCAATCAATCCTACCTATTAAATTTCATAAGGATCGGCCTACTATATCCTATAGCTGCCATATAACTGAACGATTGGAAATGCCATAACTTTGGTGTTTTTAAAGTTAGGAAGTTGGGATTTTTGATGAGTATTAAGAATGCATCATATGAATAATTTTGGAGAATATAATTTTCAGAGTATTCTGCAAGGGTATATCAACTTCGGCTCCGCCCGAAGTTAGCTTTCCTTTCTTGTTTTTTTTGCATTACTATGTTTTCCTTTAAATGATTAGGAATAGCCTTTATAAATTATTACATTAACCTGCAACAAAACTGGATCAAACTGGAGTGGGGTTGTACCGAGTACATAAGCAAGCTTACAAATATTAATATTTTCGATTTCCTTGGTTTTCTGCAACATTTTATTCGCCAAAATATTTTAAAACAGTATTAAAAAGCATTAAATAAGTCTACTTTTTTTGGTTGATATTGTCTGTAACTCCAATGATTATGAAAAATTGAAGTTTTTAGATACAATTTTGCTCGTTATTGCATTACGTTATCATATATCGGTATATCGGTATCGGTACGTTATCGTATATCGGTATAATGGTATCGAACGATTTTAAACTACCCTAATTTGGTTAGCATTTTATCGATTCTCTCGATTTTCTTCATTAATTGCTCATGTCCAATGTGTATTGCTCGCACTAACATAAAATTGTATAGTCAAAAAAAATTATCTCCAATGAATGAGCACAACCATGTTGTTTCATAATGCCATTATCAAACGTTAAAGTTAAGCTCTATTTTCGCGAATTTCATAGTTCCAAATTCGATTGAAAATTGTCTGTCGAAAAAATTAACATACAATAATAAAGCGCATGTTGGCACAACAGCGGCAACCTATTTAGTGGCAGACTAATTGCAGCTATCAATTTCCAACAAATTAGTTGGTTCCCTTCTCCATTTCAAAATTTCCCCCTGCCTTCAGCTAATATGGGATAAAAAGCTGTTAAAAAAAAAACAACCATAATTTAAATTAATTTACAGCAACAAGAGCAGCAACAATAACAAGTTGCAACACCTGCAATGTTGCTGCCGCATCCACCAGTTGTCGTTGCTGTTGCTGTTGCTGCCATTCCACTTTTGTCAACGAGCTCAAATTCAATGAAATTTCACACTTTGTCGTTAAAAGCGCGCCGCTAGGAAAAGGTGGAAAAGCGGGGGCGGCATAAAGGGGGGCGTTAACTGTCGGGCATAAGGATGCAAATATGCAAATGGATTTTGCCATAGGG